GTAACATTTCTGTCAGTGGCTCAGTGAGTAAGGCGCCAGCCCCATATACCGAGGGTGGCGGGTTCTAACCCAGCCCCCGCTAAACTGCAACAAAAAAATAGCTGGGCATTATGGCGGGCACCTGTGGTCCCAGCTACTCAGGAGGCTGAGACAAGAGAATCACCTAAGCCTAGGAGTTGGAGGTTGCTGTGAGCTGTGTGATGCCACAGCACTCTACCGAGAATGATAAAGTGAGACTCTGTCTCTACAAAAAAAAAAGAAAGAAAGAAAGAAAAAAAACCCTGAATTTGTAATTAAAAATCTTTACCCAAAAGAAAACTCTTTTCCAAATGGTTTATAGGTTCTATTAAACATTATAGAAAAAAAGTACAAAATCTATAGAATAAACTTTTTGAAACAACTAGGTGGAAATACTTCTCATCTTATTTTTTGATGTATTATCATGATTCAGGAACTAGACAAAGGTATTACAAGAAATGAAAAATATAACCCAATATCCTTCATGAACACAGACACAAAAATCCTTAATAAAATATTACCAAATAGAATCAAGCAATATCCTTCTAAAAAGATAATCCATCATGATTAAGTAGGGTTTATTCCAGAAATGCTGCAGATTTAACTTTTGAAAAATAAATGTAATTGAACATACAAAGATAACAAAAGAGAAATGTCATATAATAATCTCAGGGATTCAGAAATAATAATTAACAAAATTCAGCACCCACTCATGATAAAGTGTTCAACAAACTAGGAAGGGAAATTCCTCAATTTAATAAAAAGCATGAAACAAAAATCCATAGCAACCATCATTCTTAATAGTGAAAGACTAAAAGATGTCAAACAAGACAAAATGTTCATTCTCAAAACTTCCATGTAACATTGTAGTGGGGATTTTTAGCAATCGCAATCAGGGAAAAGAAGAATATAAAAGGAACATGGTTTATAAAGAAAGAATGCTGTCTTTATCCACAAAGACATGATAATTTTGTAGAATATCCTAAGGAATCTGTACAAAAGCTAATGCAACTAACAAATGCATTTGTCAAGTTTGTAGGCTATAAGGTCCACATATAAAAATCAGTGGTATTTCTATATAATAGTTAATCAAAACTGAAAAATGAAGCCCTCTTTGCCTACTTGCCCTGCCAGTGGAGGCCCATTTGCTGTCTATGGCAAATGAACACTGCTCTGTAAGCTTTCTTACTCTGTAAGCCTATCTTTCTCGTCCTCAATACACTTTGTTTCATGTTTGCCTTAAAAGAAAAAAAAAAATTTAAATACTCCCTACGACAGCATCAAAAAACATGAAATACTTAGGGATAAACTTAACAAAATATGGGCAATACTGATACACTGAAAACTAAAAAGCAATGCTGAGACAAATTAAAGGAAACCTAAAATAATGAGAGTTGTACCACAGGCATGGGATCAAAGCCAAAGCCACGATACTGTTCCAGTGGCAACACTTCCCAAACTAATCTATAGATTCAACACAATCCTGATCAAAATCCCTGCAGGCTTTCACATAGATATAGATAAATTGATTCTAAAGCATCTATGGAAAGGCCAAGAAACTAGAATTAAACAGCTGAGGGGTGAAGGAAACAAAGTGGAAGGAATCACACTGATTTTTTATGCTACAGCAGTCAAAACAGTGTGGCGCTGGTGTAAAAATAGACATATAGATGAATCAGTGTAACGGAGCTCAGACAGACCCTCAAATACATGGTGGATGCATTGTTAACAAGGATGCCAAGGTATTTCAATGGGGACAAAACAGTTTTTTCAATAAATAGCGTCTGAATAATTACAAATGAGCCTCGACATTTACCTCATACCCTACACATAAAAATTAACAAAAGTAGGCCTAAACCTGAAACAACCTAAATGTTCATTAATGGATGAATAGCTCAATCAACTGTGGTATATCCATATGCTGGACTACTAATCAATGATAAAAGGGAACATATTACTTGATATACACAATAGCATAGGTGAATGGATCACAGACCTAATCATAAAAGCTAAAATTATAAAATTTCTAGCAGAAAACAGAAAATCTTTGTGATTTTGGAGCAAGTGCAGATTTGTTAGTATACCAAAAGCAAAACCAAAAAAGAAAGAAAAATCCTTATAAATTAGATATCATCAATTATCATTAAGAAAATCAAGAAGCAATGTGCACAAGGTGAGGGTGTTCAGCACACCCCCCTGGGTGAAGGGCTCAGCTACAACTCGAACTTTACCTAAGAACTGAAAACGATGTAACCTAAAAATTCATACCCTCATATTAATTTGAAATAAAAAAATTAGTAAAGGAAAAAAGCAATATAAGGTAGCAAAATGTGTATTATGTAAAAATGAGTATGTATGTGTTCATTACAATGGTTTTTATATAATGGGAAGAGTTTATGGATAATTTCCTTTGATTATTTTTAACACCCAATTATTTATATCTAAAAATACTATTAATATCTTGTGTTTTATTATCAAAAGAAATTATTCCACTTCCTTAAAATTAAAGATATAAAAATTTGTATTTCTTTCCTTGTTGCTAAAAGCAAGCCATAAATGGGAAGAGAAAATAAACTACAGATATATTTCATAGGGGACTTTAATCCAGTATAAAAGAAAAATTCTTACAATTCAATAATAACATGAATAAAAAATGGGCAAAATATCTGAACAGGTACTTTCCAAAGGAAAATATGTGTCAGATAAGGCTATGAAAAGATGTGTAACATCATTAGAGAAATGTATATTATAATCACAATTAGATTCCACTGCACATCCCCTGAAGTGGCTAAATTTAAAAAGACTGACAATAAATATCAAGGTTACCGAGCAACTGAAACTTTAATTCATTCCCGGTAGGAATGCAAAAACGGTATAGCCACTTCAGGAAACAGTCTGGTTGGATTCCTCTAAAGTTACATATACTTGTCGTAAGACTCAACAATTCCACCCCTAGATATTTACTTAAGAGAAATAAAAACATAGGTCCACATACAGAATTGTGATTTACATACATCGCAGCTTTATTCATAATAGGTCAAAACCTGAAACAGCCTAAATGTTCATAAATAGGTGAACAGCTAAACCAATTGTTCATAGGCTAGATTACTATTTTATGATAAAAAGGAACGTATTACTAACACACACAGTAACATGGGTGAATATCAACACGGATAGATTTCAAAAGCATGATGCTGAACAAAAAATGTCAGACATAAAAAGAGTACATATTGTATGGCCTATTTATTTGAAATTCTAGAAAAGTCAAGTCTAAATTATAACCACAGAAAGCACATAGGTAGACAAACAAGGGTGGCTGTTAGGGTGGCTGTTAGGGTGAAGGGGAACTGGCCGCAAAAGGGCTATCGAGAACTTTTGGATGATAGGTGTATACTTTGTGTTGGTAGCTGTGGTGAAGTAGGTGACCACATTTGTCAAAACTTTCCAAATTACAAACTTAAAATACTTTAATCTTATTATATCTAAATTATTCTCATTTAAGAAAAATTAATAAAGGTGGGTGAGGATATCATTAGTCTTCATATTCTTCCCTTCCCATTAAATCTAGAGTCAACAATAGTCTATCACGATTCTGAGACAGTAGACCTTTTAATATCCTGAACAAATTTTACATGTTGCCTTATAGTTAATAATATTCATTTGCAATCAGATTTCCATGATAACAAATTCTAAAATTAGAAAAGAATCCTTACCTTTGGTTTTTAATATATCTCATGCTTACTTTGAAATATCATCTGCACTAATCTCAGTTGCGGTTTGAGGAAGTCATAAAATAAGACCCTTCATTCCCTCCTGACCTCTGAACCATTTGAGAGACAGATAGATGCAGCTTCTACATCAGATTAATTGCTGGAAAAGGCTAGGTTAGAGAATGTAATTTAGCTTTGTGCCAACAATGGCCAGCTAATAACAAATGCATAATTCAAAAAACTGCTCACCAAAGCATGGGCTGTTTTACACAAGCACAGGGCTCCCCACACAGAGGCAGAGAACCACCGCAAGGGTCACAGCATTGCTGGCAAGAGACCACAACATGGGTTCTCTGCAGGTCTGACAAACCCAAAGGAAGAGGAAAAAGGGCCTGGATGCCCAGTTGTGTGTCTTAAACGCTCTTCCTTCCTGCAGAGATGGAAGGGAGAGATCAGGACTCTGGTTTATGCAAGTCCTGAGCTCTATGAAGAGAATCTATCCCCATCTTCTGCTTTGTCGTCCTGAGCTCTATGAAAAGAATCCATCCCCATCTTCTGCTTTGTCACCAAAGTATAGATCAGCATTTCTCAACCTTTCTTCTACCTTGACATATACCACAGGTGAAGTTCACATGTATCACACATTAAGGCACAATTCATGGTATGCTAGCTATATATAGGGCCACACTTTCTCTTCTAAAAGTGGCTATATTTAATTGCAAGTGACATTGGGGATACCTCCTTTATTTCATTTTAATTTACTTTGGTTAAGGAGGTAATTTACAGATTTCTGTATTTTATTGCTGGTTTAAAACTCTTACTTTCTCAATCTCAAAATGCCACCAATTACAAAATACACTGTCAGTTTAATAGTAACCTCTCAGGAACAAAAGAAAACACATTTAAAATACTATAATTATTATGGAACTATGGTCCTTGTGCCAACTTACAACTCACTTAGAGATACGTGTGTCATGAAATCACAGCTCAGAATGGCTGATCCAGAGTCAGTTTAGAAGGGCATCTGACTCAAGAAGTTATAAGAAATGATTGATAATTTTCTTACTGCTGGGAAAGGCAGTGAAACAACTTTTAAATTGTTTTGTAAAGCATAATGTTTAAACTGAAGTTACAATCACAGAAACTCTAGTTTTCTGAGACAAAGCTTTTTAAAGTCTTCATTATAGTTTTATCATACAGCATCAATTTACAATAGTTTCATACTTAAACCAGTCTCACAAAATTTTGTACGTAGGCCCCAGTGGCAGTCGATCTGGGTTCTCCAAGCTATCAGTTGCATGCTGTTCCCTGTTTAGTATTTGTTAGCATACTTAAGATAAATACTCTATAATCAAAGAGCTTATTTCCTAGAGAATAATATATGACTCTCGGGTTATCAGGCATGGTCTGAATGTATGGTGTTCTCACTAATGGACATGTATGCCATGTAATTTTCAAATGATAATATAAATTATATTCAATATTATATTTAACTTGAACACGGAACACTGTTATTTCAGGAAATATATTAAACATCTCTAACTATATATCATGAACATCAATTATTTGTCTTCAGATTCACAAAGATTTATCACAACTAATAAGCTTAGTAAATGTTTGAGTATGAGTATTTACATCCCTGTAAAATAACAGAGGCATTTTTCGTCATGCACAGAGGAGTATGGGCTAAACTAAGCATCTTCTGGGGAGCTGAGAAGTGAGCTGCCTTCCTTCTCATAACTCCCTTTCTCTTCAACCTTATGTCGGTTTATGACTTACATCGGGGTGAGGGAGAGACTAACTTGGCCCACCAATGCCAATACAGAGGACCAGGTTAACAGGGTCTAGGGGCTGATGCACTTCACCCGAGGTCTTGCCTCTGTGGGGGTTGAGGCACAGACCTCACATAACAATAATCCCCAAGTGATAACCATCTGTCCTACAATATCGAAAGTAGTGACTTCTCATTTTCAAATAAGGAAGGAATCGTAAAACAAGTTCTCCTTTCTTAAAGCAGAAGAAACTGGTTAAACATCACCAAATTAATTCACCTTCTTCACAAAAATTGCTAGCACTTCCTGAGCACTCTGTGGGCAAGGCACCAGGCAGGGTACTTCACATATATTATATTCACATAAGAAATTGAGTAAATAGGCCTTCTGTCACACCAAAGGGGGCCTGTTGTCTGTGGTGAATATATCCTACTCTGTAAACTTGTATCTTGCTCTTATTCTGTAAACCTATCTTTTTCTTCCTCAAAAAAAAAAGAAAATTAAGTAGATCAATCTAATTTTTCAAAAGCTAACACCACAAAATAAAGTCTTCAAAACGCAGGAAAAAACTATTTATTCACAAATTACACAATAAACAACCATCCATTGCTCAAGACAATGTGTCAAATGTTGAATATTCATTCTCTAGATACCTATCTACCTTTTGAGAATTTTCCTTATTAAACAAAATATTTAGATCACTCTGAAACTGACCTCTTTAAACATAGCTTTCTAATTTTATAACTTAGGGTAAAAATATAATACTTTTCGAGGCAAGTGCTGACTTCTCCAACTCTGAAAAGACATCTGCATTCCAATAAAACAAAATTTTGAAAAATCATCCTCATAAAAATGTAGACCATTACTTATGTGCTCCAACAGCTCCTTAACATAAAGTAGCCTACTTGCATCCCTAACAAGATAAAATTAACTTTCCACCAATAGTATCTTCCTGAGTGTCAGAAATTATAGTAATCAATAGTTCTTTGTATTGGTACTATAATATAGTTATAAAAATAATAATTCACATGCAACGACAGTATTGACTTATGAATGTGATTGCAGCTTTTCAATATTTAACATTGCCTTCTCATAAACATGAGATTGCACTATAAATCACGATCCAGTTTTTATGTATTTTGTGCTTAAGTTATTCACTCACTGACACTGTAATAATATCCTTTTTTATTTTTAGAAAGATATCATTTAGCTGCTCCAATTTGTAATTATTTTTCATTTTACTAAGTATTTCCAAAAACGTTATCTAGAAAAGTAATTCAAATTATTAGAGCTACAAGCAAGAAATAAATTGTCTTCAGGGTTATTTAAGCTCTTAAAAATGAAGGAAAATACTGCTTTTGAGCCTGGGATGATACAGCAGTAATATCTATCACAATCTCTGTAAAAGCCATTAATTTTAAAAATGCACATTTTAAAAAATGACTCACTTTTGATAAGGACTACTCTGCCCACTAATTAAAAAAAAAAAAAAAAACACCATTCTGATGTATTTCCCACATCTTACAAATATTGAGGAAGAAAACTACTATTGTTGTTAACTTTAAATTCAAAATAGAAATACAAATTAGAATTACGAGAAATGTTCAGAATGTACACATTTGCATGCATTTCCAGCCAAACTTTCAAAAATTCCACATGTAACCAAATGACAACTTTGAATCAAAATGAATGTCAAAAATATCCAAGCTTTGTGACAGGCCTACTCTAATGAAGCAAGAAAAATGAAAGAATAGTAACAGTATTATTTCTAGGAGGGAAAGAAATCACATACTTCCTTAATCATAAAACAAAATTTGAGTCACCATTTTAATAACATTGGCCATCAAGTTATTCACTATTTAAGAATATACTTTTCAAGTTGTCTTTAAAATGTATTCATTTATGTATTCAGATTACATTAAGTTCATTAATCAAAAGCGATTTAACTCAGAATTCTACCCTTAAGAAGTATAAATCGTAACTTATCAAGGCATAGTCCAAACACTACGTAACAATTCTGCCATTTAGTTTCTGTATGCCTCAACTGATAAACTTTCTTTTACAAACAGGAGTTTTGCCTTCTGCATGTATCTCCAAGTAAATATCCCTACATCTAAACTTTAAGTGGCAATCAAAAAGATTCAAATAATTCCTCCATTATGCAAACTGCTTCATCGAGCTTTGATAAAAACAGAGCCATCTGGTGGTGTGGCGCCGTCTTCCTCCTCAGTTACAGTCTCCACAGTCCCAGAAGCCGACACAATCACCATGGTTTTATTGGCTGAAACCGTCTTCTGTTTTTCAGCAATAGCAGCACAAACAGCAACAATCTCATCACTTTCAAAGTCATAGTCTGGAATCGACTTTGGTGCTTCTTCGGGGGGTGCTTCACTTTTTTTTATCTTCTGCGCTACTTTCTGTTGTTCCTGGAGTGTTCTTGCCCAAGACAGGTCTTCTTTCCATATTTCAGGGTTCATTGGATAGATGTGAAGAGCTACCTGGAAACTTCGAATAGCCTGGGGGAAGAAAAATCAAGAGTTCTTCATTTGTTTTGTGTTCAAATATTAGTGTTTAATATATGTGTGTATTTAGTGTTTGTGTATTTAGTGTTTAATGTGTGTATTTATATGTGTGTGATACACACATATACATTCTAATGTTAGTATTTTAATGTATTAGAACATAAAGGATGAAAGTTAGGGCTTTGCCCTAACCACTGGAGGATGATTATGGTGAAAAAAAAAAAAAATGATGGAAGTATGAACGAAAGTGACTTACAACATGCTGATGGACTAAAAGCTAATAAAATATAAGTACTGATATTAGGATTCAAGATAAAGCAAATATACTGTTCAATTCCGCAGACTAGCAAATATATATAAACTGAGGGACTTCCTAGGCTAACTCACAGTCAGAAAGGTACCCAAGAATGCATACCTTTGAAACCAAGACTTTAGATCTTAACAATACTAACATTTGTTGAGTATTTACTATGTTCCAGACACTAAATATCTGCATATATTTATTTACCTGTCTTCACAACAATCCTATAAAATAGCTATAGTTTACTGTCTTCAGTCTTATTTTATAGAAACACAGAGAGATTACTTAATAAAGCTATCAGCTAGGAAGTGGCAGAGCTGGGATGCAAACCAGTCTCAGGCAGGGTGGCTCCAGTCCACACTCTTATTCAGTACATAATACGGCTTAATTAAAAGAACTCCACTTAGGTCTGGACCAAGGTCAACCTCAGTGCTCTCCAGACATTCTGAACTGGATATACTCTTTACTTGATAGGGTCCTGTATGAAGTAGAATTTTTAGCAACATCCCTGACCTATACCCACTAGATCCACTACAGCTCCCTCTTCTAGTCCTGACAAACAAAAATGTCTAAGGACATTGACAAATATCCCTTGGGGGGGCAAAACTGCCTCCAGTTAAGAACCACTACTCTAAAACTAGTGCATGTCGCTATCTCTGAACACTCTTACTCTCTGGATAGAAGATCATCACGCAAACATTAGTTTTAGCATTCCACATCATCTACAGATTTACAATCTATTCTAGGCCCTTTAGAAAGCATTACAGAGATACAGAGATAGGTATATAAAGTAGCATGAGCATAGTACAATGTAATGAAAAATGGAGATGGGTGTTTTTAATTACAGTAAGAGTGCCAGGCAAGAAAGTACACAGATTACATAACAGGAAATCACTGAAAGTCTGGAGTATAATATTTGTTATTTTTTTTTAAGTTATCAAACTTCCAGTGGTATATCTTTAATTGGATTATCTTCAAACAAATAATAAATCAAAAATATAATGAAATCCTGGACTTAATTTTGTTCAAAGATGAAGAGTAAGTTAATGAGGAAGTGTGACTGGGCATGTAAATACTTGCTTAGCCTCATAACGTACCAGGGCATTGTGACTTAGGTGTTATTAATATTCTTTAAAAAAAGAAAAACATCTTGGAATATTAAAAAGTTTAAAAATAGCTCCTCATCATATAAAACTAATGCCTAATAAAATACTAAAAGGTAATTTTACTCATATTTACTAAATGTTTAAAACAACAATTAAGCTCACCCGTTTAAAATGTACAATTCAATGGTTCTTAGTTTCGTCACAGAGTTGTGCAGTCATCACCACAATCAATTCCAGGACATTTTTATCATCCCACAGGAAAACCCCATACCGACTTACAGTCACTCCCATTTCTTCCCAAGATCCCACTGCTAGGCAACCGTTAATCCACTTGGTACCTCTACAAATTTGCCTATTCTGAACATATATAAACGAAATCATATGCTATGTAGTCTTTTGCATCTGGTTCTTGTCACAAACCACACTATTTCCAAAGTTCCCCCATGTTGTAACATGTATCAACACTTCATTTCTTTTTATTGCTGAATAATATGCCATGTGCAGATACCCACCTTTTGCTCCTCCATTCATCAGCTGATGGCATGTGAGCTGTTTCCACTTACTGGCCACTGTCAATAATAGTGCTGCTATGAATATCTGTGTACGAGTTTTGTGTGAGCTTGTGTTTTCATTTCCCTTGGGTATGAACATAAGAGAGGACATACTCTGTTGTATAGTAACTATATGTTTTATTTTTTTGAGGAACTGACAGACTGTTTCCCAAAATAGCTGTAACATTTTACATTCCCACAGCAACATACAAGGCCTCCAATTTCTCCACACTTGAAATTGTCCATCTTTTTTATGACAACCATCCCAGGAGATGTCAAGTAGTATCAGTATCACTATGTGGCTTGATCTGCGTTTTCCTGATGAGTAAATGGTGTTGAGCATCTTTTCATGTTCTTTTTGGCCACTGATTCTTTACCTATTTTAAAATTACATTATTTGTCTTTTCCTATAAATTCTGAATACTAGACCCTTACCAGATAAATGATTTGCAAATCTTTCCTTCTACTCTGTGAGTTGTCTTTTTACTTTGACAGTAACTTTTGAAGTACAAAATTGTTTCAATTTGAAGTCCAATTTATCTACTTTTTTCTTTTGTTGCTTGTGTTTCAGGGGTCTTATCTTAAAAAATACAGTAATCACCCCATTCTCTGGTACCCACTGGGATCCTGGCAGATTCTGGGTAAATGTAGTTTCCAGTTAGTTGAGAGTTTCTATTAAAAACAGGCCTAGGCTCGGCGCCTATAGCTCAACCGGCTAAGGCGCCAGCCACGTACACCTAAGGTGGCGGGTTCGAATCCCCAGCCCGGACCCGCCAAACAACAATGACGGCTGCAACCAAAAAATAGCCGGGCGCTGTGGCGGGCGCCTGTGGTCCCAGCTACTTGGGAGGCGGAGGCAAGAGACTCGCTTGAGCCCAGGAGTTGAAGGTTGCTGTGAGCTGTAATGCCACGGCACTCTACCCAGGGGGACAGCTTGAGGCTCTGTCTCAAAAAAAAAAAAAAAAAAAAAAAAAAAGCCTAATTCCATACTCTATACTATACATACCATAATACTGATGTTACTATCAAAATACACTGATAACAAACTAAGGCAAATAAAGACAAACTTCACTTACAATAATAGTTTTACTGTATTAAAAAACAGCTTTATACACATAGGGTAAAATTTTGGTTAAATGTAAGTCAATACATTTTTCAATTTCACTACTATATATTTTTTTTAAACTTCAAATAAGACACATTAACACTTAAAACTGTTACAGAGAACACAAGGGCCCTGCGGGAGTAATGTACCAAGTGTCAGCTTACTGATGGCAAGGGGCACCAAGTTTAAACAGATTTTTTTTGGCCAGGTCTCACACTGGCTGCTTTAGAGTGCCAGTGGCTTGAGTTCCAGATAACAGGTAATTTACTGCATTGCCAAATCGAAGGTCACAAAGATTTACGTCTAAGTTTTCTTCTAAGAGTTTATACTTTTAGCTTACATGTTCAGGCCTTTACTTTTGAGTTAATTTTTATACATGGTGTGAGACAGGAGTCCAGCTTCATTCTTCTGGATATCCCACTGTCCCAGTAACATATTGAAGACTATTCTCTCCTTTGTCTTCACATCTTTGTCCAATTAACTGTAAAGATGAAGCATTAGTTTTGGACCTTCAATTCTATCCCACTGACCTATACATATGTTTATATTTATACCAACACCATACTGTCTAAATTATTACAGCATTTTACTGTCTAGATTATTACAGCATTTTACTACATTTAAAAAAATTATTTTACATTTTTAAAAAATTATTTAAAGTCCAAAGAACTCCCAATTACATGTTTAGATTTAAGACAATTTAAATCTCTGAAGGGCACTTCTCAACAGTATCAAAGAACTTCACACACACACACAATGACAGAGGAGTGATGTCAGCAAGATAATGGAGTAGGAAGCCCTGGATCCCCCTTCGCTCAATAAACACACCAATTCAACAATAATTCATGTACACAATTCCCTTGTGAGAAATACAGACACTAACTGAAAGGCTCCTGCATCCTGGGTATATAAGAAACCAGACTCCTAACATTCAGGACACGGTCTTGCTAGAATCCTATACCCAGCATGGCATCATCCAGTTGAGAAGAGACCTACAGCTCTAAGCTTCCCCCTGGGGAAGGAAACAGTTGTTCCAAGTATATAGCGTTCTTACTGCTATAGCAGCCACCACAAGGACTAGCTTCTGTTAGGGTGCTGACAGGCTGTACATAATCTAGCCACCTAGGGGAGAACAGAGATGGAGGCTTGAGCTGACAGTAACATATCAGCCTAAGTCGCAGAGGAAAAACTCTCAGCAACTAGTTTCTGCCTGAAGAGAGAAAGAGTTGGTCTGCACTAGGTCCAATGGACCAGCTTTTATGAGAGCTACCAAAAGAACTGGCTCCTGTCTTGGTCATGTTGATAAGTTATTAAAATTCAGCTGCCTGGAGGCTCATGAGAACAGATCTGCTGTACAGCTTTACACCTAGAGATCTGCTGTACAGCTTTACACCTGGAGCTCTGCTGTACAGCTTTATACCTGGAGCTCTGCTGTACAACCTTATACCTGGAGCTCTGCTGTACAACCTTATACCTGGAGCTCTGCTGTACAACCTTATACCTGGAGCTCTGCTGTACAACCTTATACCTGGAGATCTGCTGTACAACCTTATACCTGGAGATCTGCTGTACAACTTTACACCTGGAGATCTGCTGTACAACTTTACACCTGGAGATCTGCTGTACAACTTTACACCTGGAGATCTGC